CCGGCTATGACAGAGCCTGGATTCGAACCAGGATCTCTAGTGGCACAGCTAGCACTGCAATACAGTGCCTTAGACCACTGCGCCACTCAGGAGGACCACTTCATGGTCGAATTGCTGCAAAGAAAGAAGAAGACACTTGCTTGGGCCAAGAAACATGAGCAATGGACATTAGAATGGTGGAAATCTCCAATGTCCAAATTTTAGAATTTTGATTCCAACCGCTATGTCTTTGTGAGACGCAGAGTAGGTGAACGGATGATCTCCAAATGTGTGAAGCATGGAGGAGGAGGTGTTATGATGTGGGGGTGCTTTGCTGGTGACACTGTCTGTGATTTATTTCGAATTCAAGGCACACTTAACCAGCATGGCTACCACAGCATTCTGCAGCGATACGCCATCCCATCTGGTTTGGGCTTAGTGGGACTATCATTTGTTTTTCAACAGGACAATGACCCAACACACCTCCAGGCTGTGTAAGGGCTATTTTACCAAGAAGGAGAGTGATGGAGTGCTGCATCAGATGACCTGGCCTACACAATCCCCCGACCTCAACCCAATTGACATGGTTTGGGATGAGTTGAACCGCAGAGTGAAGGAAAAGCAGCCAACAAGTGCTCAGGATATGTACGAACACCTTCAAGACTGTTGGAAAAGCATTCCAGGTGACTATCTCATGAAGCTGGTTGAGAGAATGCAAAGCTGTCATCAAGGCAAAGGGTGGCTACTTTGAAGAATCTAAAATATATTTTTTGGTTACTACATGAAATGTGTATACAGTACACAGTGAGCAGGACTGTCTCTTCCAGTTCACTGCAGGGGTGGAAAAAGTACCCAATTGTCATACTTGAGTAAAAGTAAAGATACCTTAACAGAAAATGACTCAAGTAAGAGTGTAAGTCACCCAGTAAAATACTACTTGAATAAAAGTCTAAAAATATTTGGTTTGAAATATACTTAAGTATCAAAATAAATTTTCCTGTCCTGCTAAGCATGAAAAATGTAACAAGTACTTTTGGGTGTCAGGGAAAATGTATATTATTAAAAACTATATTATTTTCTTTAGGAATGTAGTAAATGTTGTCAATATAAATAAAGGACAGATACCCCAAAAACTATTTTTACTTACGTACTTTACACCACTGGTTCACTGTGATTTTAAGATGGTACATCAAATGTTCAACAGTTTATATTCTACACAGAACCTGTCATTCTCTATATTTCTGTTCTTCCTGTAGGAGTGGCTCCTCTCTACTCAGGCCTCACCCCCACCATGATTAGAACCTTCCCTGCCAACGGAGCTCTCTTCTTGGCCTATGAGCTCAGTCGGAAGGCGATGATGAAGAAGTTTGGAGACGTCTGATTGGCTGAACCATCTCCTCACAACGGACGCTTCCTGTTTCCTCAATGCCTGCACTTTGTTGGCATCCCAAATGGCACCCTATTTGCACCCTATTTTTAAAATATTATTTTAAAGTATGAATGTGATTTTTTTTATAAATATGCTTTTTTGTTGTTGTTGTTGTTCTAACTATTGAATATGCAAGGATAATGCCTACATTTGTTAAGCAGGTCACAGTTATTTGGGAATGTGGAGTGTGTGGCGTTCTTTTATGCAACTGTAAAAATAAAATTAAGTCAACACACTCTATATTGAATGGCGATCCCTAACCTACCATACTGTATATACTGTGTTTTCTTTTTATAAAGTTTACTCACACTTAGTAAGAAACAAACATTTTCAGGTGTGTGTCAGTTGATGCTTTTTACAGGTATTCTATGCAACACCGATCTACTGTATATAATAGGACACACTGTGCAGATCACCATGGAATTGGATTACTGTTAGTGTGTACTCTGGTAATGATGACTTCTGGAAGACGCTATTAGTGTGTACTCTGGTAAGCACTATAAATGACTTCTGGAAGACAATATTCTTGCACTACTATTCTTTATAACAATAAAGATTGACTAATAACTGCTGATTTTCTATTCCCCTCCCTCTCTCCCTTCTATAGCTCCCTCCCTCTCTCTCCCCCTCCTATAGCTCCCTCCCGCCCTCCTCATCCCCTATCCTCCCCCCTGGGCCTGCCCTGCCTCATACTCCCTCTCCTCTCCCCCTTGCCTCCATCTCCCTCTCCTCCTACCTTCTCCTCTCCTCCCTCCCTCTCTCTCCCTCTCCTCCCCTCTCTCTCTCTCCCTCTTCTCTCCCTCTCTCCCTCCCCTCTCTCCTCCCTCTCTCCCCCTCCTCCTCCCTCCCTCTCCTCTCCCCCTCCTACCCTGCTCTCCCTCCCTCTCTCTCTCTCCCTCCTTCCCTCCTCCCTCCCTCTCCCTCCTCTCCTCCCTCCCTCCTCCTCCCTCCTCTCCCCTCTCTCTCCTCCCTCCCTCCTCCTCCCTCCCCTCTCCCCTCCCTCCTCCTCCCTCTCCCTCCTCTCTCCCTCCTCTCCCTCCTCCTACCTCCCTCCCTCCCTCTCCCCCTCCTCCTCCTCTCTCCTCCCTCCCTCCCTCCCTCCCCCTCTCTCCCTCCTCTCTCTCCCCTCCTCCCTCCCTTCCTCCCCTCCTTCCTCTCTCCTCTCTCTCTCTCTTCCTACCTCCCTCCTACTCCCTCCCCCTGCCTCCATCCCCTCCCTCTCTCTCACTCTCTCTCCCCCTCCTATAGCTCCCTCCGTCTCTCCCTCTCTCTCTCCCTCCCTCTCTCCCTCCCTCCCTCCCTGGTAATGACACTGTGGCGGCCTCTACCTCTCCTAGGACCCATTGGCTACAAAACCTACAGATGACGCTTACTACAGATGTTCAGAGTTAGGCGACGACTACGATTCCAGTCAACGAGGCCTGTGTCCGGTGATCAGATCATCTTGTGTTTGGATCAAAGTTTCCCGCCCACTAGCATGGCGTCAGATACCACCTATTGTTTATTCATGAGCGTACACTCATCACAGGACTCGCGTTCATGATAGCACCAAAACTATATGATATAAAGATATAGAATAAACACGCTTCACTAAGCGAAGTACAACTTACAGTAGATCTTAATTGGGTTGTTACTGAGTCTCTCCTGTGTTCCACGTTGTGTCAGGAGACTGCAGCATCAACAGAGCAGTCTCACTCAGACAGAAACAGACCATTAGGGAAGGGGATAGGCCACGCCCTAGTTGGAGAGAGGACACAGGTAAATATCCCCACCTGCCTACCTTCCCTCCAACACGTACACACACACACACACACACACACACAGACAGACAGACACACACAGACAGACAGACACAGACCGGCAGACAGACAGACACACCTGAAAGATCCCCTGCTGATGCTGATTCTCTGTCCTGGCTAGGCTTTCCGAGGAGGTGTTGTTACAAATATAATTAGTTCTTAACCGATAGCCTCAATTTTCAGTCTTTAATATTATCATGTTGCTCTGAGTATTAGTAGCTGTAGGTATATGTAATATTTCTGAAACTATTGGACTGGCTTAGCCACCGTAGCCGACTGGCTTGGTTGAATAAAGGTTGAGTACAGAGCACCAGGCAGGACTAGAGAGAGAGATGGTGACCCAGGGTAAGGCACAGATCAGCAGCAGCACTGAACAGATCCTAGAAGGTACGTGGACCTTACTATTAGGAGGAGAGAGGGAGGAGGGTAGAGGGAGGGAGGAGAGAGGGGAGGAGGGATGGGAGGGAGGAGAGAGGGAGGAGGGAGAGGGGGGAGGGGAGAGAGAGGGGGGAGAGGAGGGAGAGATGGAGGGAGGGAGAGGCAGGTCGTGTCTCGGAGTTGAGGTTAGGGGGGGCGTTCTGTAGGTAGGGCGGTGGGTCGTCGCTATTCTTTCGATTGATGTTGCGCCTCAGCGTTAGGGAAAATCTTCTGTGCTGCTATCTAAGAGTCGATATAAGCAAATGAGAGAAATTAGGACACAAATATAATTTAAAATAAAATAAATCATCATTAAAAACAGGCCTTGGTAACCTTTATCCTACTCCTGCCATTTTGAGGGGTCCTAATCCTAACCAAATAGTATAATTAATTATATTCTAAATGAATTTTCATTCGTTTTGTGGTCCTAACATTCTCTCTCTGTTTATGAGGTCTGACAAATAATATTGACATTCTATACATGCAACGGAATAATAATGTGTTTGTCTGTGGGTGTACGTGCGTGTGTGGGCGCGCTCGTTGGGCGCTCTGAGAAGGTGTTGCCTCACTACTAGACACAACAATGACCCAGGAGTACCAGAGAGACCAGAGATACCAGAGATACCAGATAACATGATACTAGTTACAGAGATACCAGAGATACCAGATAACATGATACTAGTCACAGAGAGACCAGAGAGACCAGATAACATGATACTAGTCACAGAGAGACCAGACAGACCACAGAACATGTGATACTAGTCACAGAGAGACCAGAGAGACCAGATAACATGATACTAGTCACAGAGAGACCAGAGAGACCAGATAACATGATACTAGTCACAGAGAGACCAGAGAGACCAGATAACATGTGATACTAGCTACAGAGAGACCAGATAACATGTGATACTAGCTACAGAGAGACCAGATAACATGTGATACTAGTTACAGAGAGACCAGATAACATGTGATACTAGTTACAGAGAGACCAGATAACATGTGATACTAGTTACAGAGAGACCAGATAACATGATACTAGTCACAGAGAGACCAGAGAGACCAGATAACATGTGATACTAGTTACAGAGAGACCAGAGAGAGATACAGATACCATACAATACCATACAATCAATACAATACCATACAATACAATCAATACAATACAATCAATACAATACCATACAATACCATCAATACAATACAATACAATACAATATAATACCATACAATACAATACCATACAATACCTTCAATACAATACAATACAAAACCATACCATACCATACAATGCATGGTTGAACTGTGGACTATACCATGACATGTTGGGATTGTTTCCCAGACACAGGTTAACCATAGTCCTGGACTTAAAGATATTAACCATAGTTAGACCAAAGGTTAACCATAGTCCTGGACTTAAAGATATTAACCATAGTTAGACCAAAGGTTAACCATAGTCCTGGACTTAAAGATATTAACCATAGTTAGAGCAAAGGTTAACCATAGTCCTGGACTTAAAGATATTAACCATAGTTAGAGCAAAGGTTAACCATAGTCCTGGACTTAAAGATATTAACCATAGTTAGAGCAAAGGTTAACCATAGTCCTGGACTTAAAGATATTAACCATAGTTAGACCAAAGGTTAACCATAGTCCTGGACTTAAAGATATTAACCATAGTTAGACCAAAGGTTAACCATAGTCCTGGATATCCAACTAGTCAGTGACAACTGAGTGGAGTTTGGAGTTTTGTGACAGCAACTATGTGAGCTTATTACAGTATTATAGAGACTATGTCCCGGGATTTCCTATGGTCTTCTATGTAGAATAACCTCTAACCTAACGACTCATGCGTGTTTGTGAGAGTCTCAGCTTTTCATAGACTGGTCATAATAGTTTGTAGCTCGAAACCGTACAGACTTTACAGACGTTTTTGTGAGAAGAAGCATTTCTGGGATCCGCCCTTGTCTCATAAACACGTTAATCACAATGTTTAAGCGCTACAGAGGGTGGTGTGGATGGCCCCAGTACATCACTGGGGCCGAGCTCCCTGACCTCCAGGACCTCTATATCAGGCGGTGTCAGAGGAAGGCCTGAAAAATTGCCAAAGACTTCAGCCACCCAAGCCATAGACTGTTCTCCCTGCTACCGTCCGGCAAGCAGTACCGGAGCATCAGTTCTCAGACCAACAGGCTCAGAGAAAGCTACTATCCCCAAGCCATAAGACTGCTTAATAGTTAATCAAATGGTGACCCGGATTAGCTGCATTGCTCCCATTTTGCACTCACAAGACTCTACCCACACACTCACACACTACACTGACACTCTCACACAAACCCACATATAACACACACACACATACACACACACACATACAGTGAGGGAAAAAAGTATTTGATCCCCTGTTGATTTTGTACGTTTGCCCACTGACAAAGAAATGATCAGTCTATCATTTTAATGGTAGGTTAATTTGAACAGTGAGAGACAGAATAACAACAAAAAAATCCAGAAAAACGCATGTAAAAAATGTTATAAATTGATTTGCATTTTAATGAGGGAAATAAGTATTTGACCCCCTCTCAATCAGAAAGATTTCTGGCTCCCAGGTATCTTTTATACAGGTAATGAGCTGAGATTAGGAGCACACTCTTAAAGGGAGTGCTCCTAATCTCAGTTTGTTACCTGTATAAAAGACACCTGTCCACAGAAGCAATCAATCAGATTCCAAACTCTCCACCATGGCCAAGACCAAAGAGCTCTCCAAGGATGTCAGGGACAAGATTGTAGACCTACACAAGGCTGGAATAGGCTACAAGACCATCGCCAAGCAGCTTGGTGAGAAGGTGACAACAGTTGATGCGATTATTCGCAAATGGAAGAAACACAAAATAACTGTCAATCTCCCTCGGCCTGGGGCTCCATGCAAGATCTCACCTCGTGGAGTTGCAATGATCATGAGAACGGTGAGGAATCAGCCCAGAACTACACGGGAGGATCTTGTCAATGATCTCAAGGCAGCTGGGACCATAGTCACCAAGAAAACAATTGGTAACACACTATGCCATGAAGGCCTGAAATCCTGCAGCGCCCGCA